GGCCGACTAGGCGGGCTCGCGACGACGATAAAAGACGAGAGATAAAAGTTTGCTGAAGCTTTTCGGTGGATCGACGAAACGCGAGGAAAAGCCGAGGCGAAGAACTGCACGAAAGGAGAGGCGGGACGGCGCGAAATCGAGGAGCTTTTATCGTAAAGTAGGATACGTTAACCGCCCCGTGTTCGCGGCTAAACCGGCTGCTTTAAATAAGCGCGATGTTTGCTCTGGAAGATAGCTTCGCGCGTCCTCGATACCGGAGGTCGATGCGAGTACTCTTCTTTCGAAGCGAAATCTCTCGAGCGTATAAAACCACGAGTTTATCTGTTTGTCGCTCGTCGAACGTCCGGGAACGTCGAGAATCATCGATTCGTTCGCTCGATGTCTAATTTCTACCGTCGTCGCTCTCTCTCTCCCTCTCTGTCACTACCAACTGTCCGACCGTGTATTCGTACGCGTTAGAAACGTTCCGCGATATAGGTGAGCGAACGACGTCGGAAGAGTGATGGAGCAAGTTCGAAGTTCGAAAATTTCGTTCGGAAAGGAAGGAAAGCGAACGCGAGTACAGCGACTCGAATCAATGCCCGGCATCGAGCTTATATTTAGCGAGAATACGAGCCGACCGCTATACGCGAAAGGCCAGAGAAATATATTTCATTGTATAATCCCCTCGCGAAGAATCCCCTCGAGAAGCGGATAGCTCGGCGAGTTTCTAGCTCGCGAGCTTCCAGCGACCGGTTCAAATTCTTCCTTCGCCTTCTCTTCTCTTTCCGTTTTACACTCTTTGATCGGAGCCGACGGAAAGAAAACGTCGAATACGTACCGAGTTTTCGATCGAACCGTGATCTTGAGACGGCGAAGATCCGTTGGTCTGCAGCAACGCTTCCAGGCCCTCGATGTACTCGATCGCGTTTCGCAGGATCTCCACTTTCGGCAGTCGCTGATTGGGATTGTTGCTGGTCCGTCTCTTCAAAACTTCGAACGCCTCGTTCACCTGAAACGGTCGTCGGATAGAGTCTTCTCTGTCGACGGATCGAACAGGAATACAGCGAACCAACCTTCCTCAAACGTCTTCTCTCGCGCAAGGTGGCCGCTTTCCTTCGATCAACGGTGACGGTCTTCTTTTTGCAAGCCTTGCAAGCCCAGAGAAGGCATCTGCGAGGTCCGTGCGGCGATGCCGTCGCGTCCAGCGCCGCGTGTGGATGGGGCACGTGCTCGTTCGACTCGCTCTCGTTCGATTCGTTGTTCCTTTCGTTCGGTTCGTTGGATTCGTTCGGTTCCGTCGACTCGTTGCCCTCGTTGCTCTCCTCGGCCTCCACGGATACCGATTCGAAATCGGCCGAAGCGTCCACCGACGCGATCGACGACGCGTCGTCCGAATCCAGCGCGTATCGAAACGTTCGCGACCTATCGATCAAACCGAACAAATTCACCTGTTTCTCTCTGTTTGCGCGTTTCCTTTTCTTTTCGGTGTAACGAGTAACGAGAAGCGTAGGGCGTTTAGCGAGAAGATATCGGGGTTAGTCTCGGAGGATTGGAATGGTTCCAGGTGGTTGAGAACGCGCGACTCGAGCGGTGCGACGATTGATAAAAGGTGGTGGACACGGTTAAAGAGAACTCGAAATACGAGGCGAAAATGGTTTAACGCGCGATAAAACCGTCGTCGCTCTCGGCCTTCGTAATTACGAAGCGAGCGACGCACACGGCTTTCAAATTTTCCCTCGATCTCGAGCCGCTCGAATTCGACGCGAAGGAAAACAGGAAAGAAAGGCTCGATCGGCGAAGACTCGCGAAGGGAGAAGCGTGAAACGATCCCGTACCGGTAACGTTGCGAACTAGCCGATTCTAGCGCGAACGCGTTATCGGCCGACTCGACGATGCTCCTCGTTGCTTCGTCCACGTTTCTCTCGGACAGATATCCTTGCAGGTAATCGATCGAGGGATGATCGATGGGCGCGTAGACGCGACGACGTCGATGATGATGACGGTGGTAACGGTGATGGTGGCGATGATGGTGGTACCGATGATGTCGACGATCGTGAGGGTGGCGGGGATGATGTCCAAGTTGCGGATGATGATAATGATGATGATGCCGATAAGCGTCGTAAGACTGTCTGGCGGCAGCTTGACACGCGTAAGACACCGTATCCGTCACGAGAGTCATCGTATCGCGCGAATTCCGCCGAGACGGACGATCGACGAGCGTTTCTTCGTTGCCGCGATCGTGCTCGTTCGACTCGGGCAAAACCGGAGTCCGGTCAATTATTCTCTGAACAACTCGTGTCTTGTCTCGAGACTCGAACGACCGTCATGCGGTGCGCGAGGTAGCGCGAAAGAACGCCGCGAGCATCGCGGATAACGCGTTCGTTAGATCGACGAGCACCGATCGATCGAAAGCGTGTAACTTCCGTAACTCGAACGCGGATTTCCGATGGCGGCTCGAACCGCGGAACCAAACGCGTAACCGAGAAAGCTGTCGGGGGCACGGGGCCGAAAGACGGACCCGAAAACCTTGGAGGCACAGAGATCGGGACGAGGTCTCGTGTAAGATTGAAGCGACGGGCTTTCCGGGAGCCGGCGCGTGGCCCTAAAGCGCGCGCCAGTACGGGCCGTAAGCTCGTACGTGCTCGTCGACTTTCGTAGCCGATCGTAAGCGCTCACGCTCGCGTTCGCACTCGCACTCGCACTCGCGTCGGAGCTTCGCGACGGCCACGTTCCTCGGCCTCGTCGAAACGCGCCAACGTTGGCCAGCCAACGACGTTCGAATACTTTACGAGCCGCGTTAAGCGGTCGGTAACACCCAGATGGATTATTTTCGACGAGGAACCAACCAATTAGAGACCGTGGAAATTCTCTGGTACCCATCGTCGACCCGCCTCCGTTCTTTCGGAACTCGACTTAGCGGCTGGCGAAATCTCTTGGAGGGGTGTGGTTTAATCGCCGATACCGCGTTTCGAATCTTCCGCTCCGTCCAATTCGCGTTTCCGACGCGTGTCTTTCCGCTCGGTTCGCGGACGTTCGATCGCGACTCGTCTGCCGAGATCGATCCGAACTCTTTCTCGAGAATCGATCCGATCGAACGAACGTCGAACACGGTCGGAGAATCGAAGAGAAATAGAAGACGAAAGGGAAAGCGTGCTTTAACGCGATCGCGGCCGACCTAGTCGTGGCGGAAAAGAAACGGAACGATTACGGCTCTAAAGAGGGTAAGGAGAGAAGGAACCTGACTCGAGGCAACGCGAACTCGTCGACCACGTTCTTCGGATAGTTCGGCTCGACCTTGAACCGATAACCCGTTTACCTACATAAGAAAATAATAGCGAGGCGAAGGAGCGCGGCCGACGCGACGCGCGTGAGACGCGATCGAGTCACGCGACGACAAAACGCGCGAAAAAGAGCAGCGGGCGGTGGGCGCGGAAACAAAGAGAACGAAAGGGAAACGACGGATCGATCGGAAAACATATTTGTAAAGCGGTCGATCGTTCGGTTGCGTAGAAAGGGAGGACAGGAACGGCGAGAGCGTCGACGATCTCTATACGGATACGGTTGATCTCTGTACGCGCAGGTAGAATCGGGTTCGCTCGGTCGCGGGCACAGAGTGGATCTCCGACGCCGAGGGAATCGGTGGTGGTGGTGGTGGTGGCGGTAGAGGCAGAGGGTGGCGTATCGCAACCCCGTAAACGGCACGGTTCTCGTGAAATCTCGGAACGACTCGGACACGCTCGCGTCGAAAACGAAGAGAGAATATCGCGCAAGGCGGACGGTCCAGATACGCGAAGCGAGACGAAAAACGGGTCACTCTCTCCTCCTTTCAGGATTCGGTGTCGGCTGGGATACCTACATCCGCCAAAGCTGAAAGTTCACGAAAGGGCAATGCCTCGCCCATTTTTATGGCGAAAAGCGGCTCGAACGAATTTCGAGCGTTCGCTCCTTTTTTTCCCTCTTCGTCTCGACACCGATCGAGAAGCATCTCTCGAGATGGACGATCGGAATGTCGTCGACGACTGCACCGAGGACAGCGAAACCGCGAACGGATGCACCGTAGCCGGATACGGAAGAGAATCGCGCGCGCGTCATCGTCGCCACAGCCTCGGACGTCGTCCTCTCCGCGAACGCGCCTGCTCGTACGCGTCAACGCACGCGTGTATTCGTGCGTACGACGGAAAATCAGGCGGTACGACGTAGGCTCGAGGAGGATGACGATGATCGGCGAAAACGTGGCGGGACAGGGTAGCGGTGCAAGACGGGACGAAGGATGAAACGGAGAAAAGCTCGAAACACGGGGCGAGAAAGCGTAAGGGAAACGAGGGAGAGAGAGAGAGAACGGCGCGATGCAGCAGCGAAGCGGAGCGGAGAGGCCAGAAGAGGAGTGGAGATTAGAGCAGCGGACCAAAGGGAAAGAGGGTGGAACTGCGAAGGGTGAGGATGAGAGGGCGGCGAAGGGGAAGGGTGAGCTGGCGGGAGAGAGAGGGTGGAAGGTTGGAAGGAGGGAGATGGCGGGATAACGGGAGGGAGGAAGGGATGCATGGTAGGAGAAGAAAGGAGAAGAGAGGAATCGGTCGGGTCGTGCGTTGCGGGCTGCTGCGGCTCGGGCGCGACAGTTCTAACCCGACCATTGCCGGTTGATTTTCGCGAGCACCGAGCACGGGGAGAAGACTGTCCCCCCGCCCCGACG